TATCTTCAGTCATTTGCTGTATAAAGTTAGTAACCGTGTATCTAACTGATAGTATCTGCTTTTCCTAATTGGGTTATAATTTCGCTTTCCGTTCCGAAATGATCAACTTTTGCAAAGATTAAATGTACTAATTCGTATGTTTTCTTTTTTCTCCAGGTGACAAAAGGATTTCAAAAACCGGCCTCCAGTTATTAAAGTGTTTTTTCCCGAGGTATGTTTTATTCTTATCTTACGTTATACTATTTATATTTGTGTATTAAAGACGACACGTATTTCACAGCATGTTAACACCAGAACGGTTTTATACTAATGTTATCACTTCTTTTCGTTTAGTTGTGCTTTTGCTGAATACAAATAGGAAACACTAAATCGCTGGTTCTTTTTTATGGATTCTTTTATTCATAATAGGCTGAAGCTACTCTCTAAATATTGGAGTAGTGGGACTGGGATGTATCTGTGATTTCTCATGCTGTTACCTATTGGTTTCTTGTTGAATTTGAGCGTGTTTGTATGTTTCTTTATTGGGGCAGTTTATTTAAGAAGTTAAGACTTCAGAACTTCAAGTGAATCGATTGTGCAAATCCGATATCTTGTTAACTTGATCCTTTTTCTTTTGCCTTCAGTTCTGCGGCTCCTGATCCTCTGCGCTCCGACGAACTCATTTCCAATCCACTCCAGCAACTCGTCGTGCTTTGGCAGGTTCTTCCTGACAATGTGTGCTTTTTCTTGAACTTTATTTTGATATCGGTGGCTTGATCTGTAGTGTACCCTTTGTATATCGATATATATTATTGTTAACCTGCATGTTTCCTGTTGACTGATGTTATTGTATGTGCTGCGGCTCCTGGTTCTCTGCACTCCGACGATCTCCGGCAATTTATTGACAAAGTGTGCTTTTCTTGCATTTGATTTTTGTTACCAGTACCTTGATCTGTAATGTCCTGATTCAGTGCTGTATTTTATTCTTGACCTGCATGTTTTCTGTTGACTGCTGCTATTGTATGT